TTTTCTAAGCTCTGGACAAGAGGATTTGATCCAATGGTGGTGGCAACATAATACTCACTTGTAGAACAAAGTATTAAAGTATATAACTATATTGCAAAGATCTATGCTATATTTAGAAGTTTATGGGATGCAAGAAATGATCAAAATTTTAATAATGTGAAACCAGACCCTCTTCAAATTTTGTGAAAGGCTGAAAGTTACTGCAACTTTAGAGAAACTGAGCTCAAAATTTCAAACTCACCACATATGCAATCACTTTGGGATTTGCATCAGGCTCTTCTCACAAACCTCCCGATCATCTTAGTAGATGGTTCTTAGTGCGCCACCATACAAACTGCATCCATTGGAATATATATGTTTTCTCACAAGTCTCCTCTTTTCATTGCAGAAGGACAACCATGCATGGTAAGATCACCAGTAGTTGCTGAGCTCTGGACAGTAATTAGAGGCTTATGTAAGTTTTTTTGTATGGGTGTTAAAATAGGTTTTTTGCTATCAGATGCCAATAAGGTTCTTATGAAATTAGAATGAACTAAAAAAAACATCATGTTGGATTTGTAGGCATTTTATGATCATATATCTAAACTTCTCTTATTTTTTGATAATATTAAAATTTTGTATATAAACAGGAACATAATAAAGCTAGTGCATGATCTGGCAAAGCGAGCTACACTCCAAAACTCTTATGTGAATAGTAATCACATCTCGATAAACCTAGCTCAAAGTTTTTTGGTTAATTGTAAAAAGGGGACCCAAATGCTCCCATTATATTTTTAATGGATCATTTTTTACAGAAAAAAAAATGTTTGATAGAACCGAATCAGTACGGAGGACATGCATTACATTATTAATAATATAATAAAATTCACTATTATACAAATTTTCCTATGCCATGCATCTGAAACTGTTTTATCAACCCCACACTGGCCCGACCGCTTTGGCTCCTCTCCATTTAGGTCCAGCCCGAGAGGTCACACAAGCTGATGTAATCAGTTAATGCGAGTCCGGATTTAGTACTGGAGACAAAACCATACATGGCCGACTGGGTAATTTATCATGATCAGTTCAATAAATTCGGATCTTCTGCCAATAAAATACATTCTGATTCTTTGCCAATTTGATCTAATACCACTCTTCCCACTCATCTCATCATGACTGGAATCCACCATAATGTGAGATCATTTTGGTAGGTCATTGGAATGAATTTTGTTACAAATCTCTTCCAATAATGTCCTAAGTTCCTAACAGACCACTATAGTGTAGTCACATATAGATATAGGGGTTCTCACATTTCAAAAACATAAACTATTTTTGATAATGAATCAATATTTAACGTTATTTGCAGTTTTCTGAACCAAAACTGTTTTTTTCTTTTGAAACATGAACCGAAACTGAATTGGTAACACACACAGTGGAAACTAAACTGATCATTTGTTTTTTTTTTTTTTTTTTAGTATATCTAACTAAAACCAAATCGATCCTTCAACCCCATTTTTTGGCATGATTTTCAAAATCGGATCAGAAAAATCGGGAATCGGACCAGTTTCATTTTCTCCAAAATCTGGACTTTTCCCCAGAACCATTGATTTTGATCAAAGAACCATTGAATCGGACGGTTAACTGTTCGAACCGTTCAAACAGTTTTGATCGTTTTTTATTTTTGTCAAAAACGGGCCGAACATTCAGATTGACCATTCAACCCAATAACCAGATTCCTGACTGGTTTGGTCACCGGGTCGGTTTTAAAAACTATGCTTTTCGGTTTGATTTGATTTTTTGAATTTTTATAAATACGGTGGAAACATCATACAATGTCCTGTTGTGATAATGTTGGGAGCGTTTGATTGGCAACAGATAATTTGGTAGTGGAGCCCCCCAGTAAAAATTACACTGATGGGTTTTGTGTTGCATAGTAAGTACCTACACTTGGCTTGTGGTCTTGGTTGATTTATTCTTGTGTAACAAAGCGACCTGTACTTGATGAAATGTATCAACGTCAACGTGGTGAAGTACAGATAATATTATTAATAAGAGGGTCTAACTCTAACATAAACAATACTTTACCCAAAAAAAAAAAAAAAGAAAAAGCTAACATAAACAAGGGTTTTACTTTTTCCAATTGACAGACGCGAAACGAAGTTTGTTTCTTATTGGAGTTGGCTGTTTGAATTTGACCAAAGAAAAGATATTTAGTTGTGATGTATTTTCCCTTCTTAAGTTCTAATTTGTATTGTAGAATGTAAAATTGAGGTTCTATAATGTTGTTGGGGGAGGAGGGTTATGTCGTGCGCGTTCGCCTCAACCGACGACCTGCTTGCTACTCACCGGCCGGCAGGCGGCAGCCAAATACTCGTTGTCATTGGTTACTCTATTAACACAAACATTCATAAAACTGTTATATTGCATATAAGCCTTTGACCATCATTTTTTATTCTTTTATTTTATTTTGAATATGTGCTGGTTACTCGACCAAATCCGGAGCGAAGTTTCGGTATTAGTCTTTATAGTTGATCGGAATGGGACGGACCGCTTCAACTGGTTAGTCTGATTTTTTCAATGTTTTAAAATCGGACTGGACCAGATGGTGGATCAGAAAAATCGGAAATCGGTCATCTGATCAACTCCATTTTATCTTGGAATCATCTTTTGGCAAAAAATTGTTGATTTATTCAATAAATCACTGATTTGGGCAGTTGAACCATTTGAATTATTTAACGGTTTTTAGCCTTTTTTTTTAATTTTATGTTAAAACAGGGCATTTGTTTGGTTCGAGCAATCAAACTATTCAACCTAGAAACCGAATCCCTGAATGATTCATTGTCTGATTCAATTTTAAAAATCTTCGATTTTTTTTTTCTTTCACACGCGCATCAAAACAAATACAAACTTCTCTCTCTTCTTCTTTTTTTTTTTTTCATTTTTTTAAATAACTATGCTCTCCTATCCAATTAACATCTTAAAACTCAAACCGTGAAAGACGTGATACCCAAAGAGATTTGATTAATCAAATTCCTGTATGAGTTTTGATAATTGGCTGTAATTTGATGACATTGATTGATTAATTATGAGTTTTTTCCTGTATAGTTGAATTAATCCGCAAATGACAAAGGAAATAATTTAGGAATTTTGATTAGTGGTAATTCCTTGGAAGTGAAAATTAACATCACTTTTAGATGGGAGAATAGAGGGAAAGAGCGTCTATTAATCGAAAATTGAGCCGTTGGGCAGAGCAGAATAGCAGTAGAGAGTAGAGACTACAAAAGGGGGCACCTGCTATGCTATGTGGCTGAAAATGGGGTGTTGGGCTATTTGTAAATATTACACAAACTTAATGTCCAATTCATGCTTCCTGAGCACCACTCTCTTTTTAAGTCTCATCCTATGTTTCTTGTGCATACCAAATATGAAAATTTTAAATAAAAATATTTTTTTATATATTGCATTGACTTGGAAACTTTGTAAACACACACATATATATAGATATGCAACTGCAAAGGTGTATTTACTATTTAGCTTGGTGAAGAAGAAAGAAGAGTGGTGCACAAGGTATTTACTAACGTCTAACGCAAATGCGCAATTCATGCTGTCAGCAAATTAGTTGCTACTTTTTAGTATGGTAGGTGAAAACATTTAATTTTGGGCCTCCTCACTCTGTCATATTCATGCTACTCCCAGTCCCAGCGCGCTACGCTCGCCTCGCCTCATTTATTACTTTTTAATTAATATAAGTGGCTCAGGCGTTACATCTGGCGCCGTCCACCGTGGATGGGGTGGCATCCAGCGGCCGGCAACAAGATTGCCCCCATCATTATCATCCATTCCCTAAAACTAGTGGTTTAAACATTACATAGTTGATAGAAAACTTCTTCTACGACATAATATGTTAAAACAATAAAACTCCCCCAGTGGGTTCATCTTCTACATCCTCTCAAATTCAACTCGATACTTGTGTCTACCCACAGTGGGAATTGGGGTTTGGGCTTTGTTTGGTTCTCGGCTCGAAAAATCTTGTTTTTCTCTTTTTCCAAAAGCCGTATGTAAATTGGAATTATATGTAAACGCGGCCGAATAAAAGCGAGGGATCTACCGATCTAACGCGCTTGAGTCACCAAGTCCAACGTATGACCCATCCACCCTCACCGCTTAATTAGTCTGGGCGCCTTCACCTGTCCATCTATAGGCGGCTAATTCAGGCTTTTAGGATCCCAATGAACGGTTTGGATATTTCCATAAGATGCGATTGGGGTCGTCTGTCGATTCGTTACCCAATGAAAACTGTGAAGTCTGGTTCGTTTATTGGCCTGTTGGTACACGATCCTCCTCCCTCTTTTTGGAGGTGGGTACCGAAAGATCCCCCATCACACGGGATGCATGGCTAGCCTGTCACTAACATCAATGGCTAAGATTGTTTACACAGCTTGAAAATAAAAACACCTTTTCTAGTTCCAGTAGAGTAGTGCTTAACTTAACTCTAGCGAGTTTGACAATGCATGACAGGTCACCAAGTTCCCACGTGTCGAGAGCTGGTGCAGTCAAGTGTGAACTGTATAGTCGCATTCATATTTGGCAGCGCTTAAAAGAAACTCATGATGATTATTAATTAAGATTATAAGAAAGGCCTAAGGCCTTCTAGATGTTCAGTTTCTTTTCTAACTCTGCCACACGTGCGGAATTCCTGATCCAAAACACGACTTTTTTTTTTTTTTTTTAATGCATCCAAAACACGATTATACTACTATTACTAGTACAACTACGCATATATCGTGTACAGCAAGGAAAGAACCGAAGCCAGGAGAATAAAACCCTCCCCAAAAATCGCTGTAAGGTAACTTCGTCGCACGCGCAAACGCTTCCGGTCCTCGCCTTAACGCCTTCCCTCTTTTTTTTTTTTTTTCTCCTTGTTTTCTTATTTTTTGTTTAAATTTTTATTTCTCCCTATTTTTAACAGCGTCATGCCCTTCTGCAGTTCCGTTACCTCTACGGGTCTTATTCCTAGTACCCGGTCCAGATGCTCCACTACACTATAAAATCAGAACTCGGAACTAACCTCCCACATTTCTCTCGTTTCTCCTCCTATTTTTCTCTCAAGTCGTTAACAGCAGCAGCAGCAGAAAACAAGGAATTACTTCAAACAACCGAACCAGAGGGCGGAAGACGTGAGAGAGCTCGCTCTACTGAACACCAACCCATCGAGAGCGGGGCGGTTTTGTTATATTTCTCTATAGGGAGTGCTCCAAAATCCAAATGCAGCAGCAGATTCTACAGAGTCCTGTTTTCTCCCTTTCCCCAAGTTTTAACAGTTATTCCTCGGACAGATTTGCAGAGGTTGCTGCTAAAGTTGGGGAAGAATCTAACGGCTTATCAGAGCTTAGTATCTCGGATTACACAGTGGAGAATCCATCATCCGAACAGGACATACAAAATCAATCTAAAGAAGAACAGAAAGTAGAAGACGGCAACAACGCCGACGACGACGATTTTGAATTCTCCTTCTGTAGGGATAACGACGGGTCTCCCATTTCAGCTGACGAAATCTTTTTCAACGGTCAGATCCGCCCGATCTTTCCCATCTTCAACCGTGATCTTCTTTTCGCCGACGGCCAGGATGATGATTCCCAGGCTCCTCATGCCTCGTCCATTCGACTCCCTTTGAGAAAGCTGTTGATTGAAGAACGCGATCCTAATCCTCCGTCGTCTTCCTCGTCCGAAGCCGACGAACTTGAAGGGTTACCGCCCGGTACTTATTGTGTTTGGACACCGAAACCGGTTCAAGCGTCGCCGGAGAGATGTAAGAAGAGCAACTCGACTGGATCTTCCAAGCGTTGGAGATTCAGGGACCTCCTGCATCGAAGCAACAGCGACGGGAAGGATACCTTCGTTTTCTTGACTCCTTCCAATAGCAACTCTTCCAAGATGAAGAAGAAAGACGACAAACCTGAGAAGCCTGAGGTTTCGAAGGAAAGGAGAAACTCTACTGATGTCAAGGTAGCCGGAAAATCGAAAGCCAAGGGAGTCTCCGACGCAGTATCGGCTCATGAAATTCACTACGTGAAAAATAGAGCGTTAAAGGAGGGAGATCGGCGGAAATCATATCTTCCATACAGGCCCGATCTCGTTGGGTTCTTTGCTAATGTGAACGGGTTGAGCAGAACTCTTCACCCGTTCTAAATTCTAATCTCTCTCCTCTCTTTTCATTTTTTTTCCGACTGCTTTTTCGGTTGTTTTATTTTTTTATTTATATTTTTCTGTAAGTAATTAGTGGTGGATAGATAGAAGTCTGATCAGTATCCAACCGTGTTCTCTTTGATTTCCTTTCCTGGAGTCTGCAAATTTCAGCGACTTAAGTTAAATTTTGCCTTTATCTTTTTCTTTCTTAATTTTTCGTTCGCAATCAAGAATTAGTTTTTTTTCTTTGTGTGAAAGCTTCCTTCGTGATATGTCAAGAGGAAGAAGAAAATTGTAAATACTTAGAAACTATTGAAATTAGAATCCTTTCGTTGTATGTGATTTATACATTGTTTTGTAGTTAAAATTATGGGAAAATCTAGGATGTTTAAAAAATATAATAGAAATATAAATATGTACAGTATAAATTCATACAAAATAATATAAAATATAAGATTTTACGCTTTAAATATTTGTATTTATATTCTTTAATAACGAGTTCGGTCCCACATGTCATGTGAGGCACAAACCGAAGATGATCTCTCTCTCTCGATGTCATAGCTGCTGGAAAGAGCAGAGCAATCTCAAGGAAGGTGTGAAGTGATGGAAGTTACGACGTTCTTTTGTGAAAGTTATACGTCTACCTTTACCTTTTATTTTGCTGTCGTTGCTTTCGTGAGTGATAATTAGGTATTGAGGTATCTAAATTTAGAGATAATAACTTAACATATAATATGGACAGTTCCAAGTTGGAGGATGTCTCTCGTACCGGAATAGTTTAAAAGGGAATAATACATAATAAGTAGTAATGAAATGTTTTCGAGTTTTTACTATTAATGATTCATTGACTTTTAATTGATTACTTGAATAAATACAAGTTTATAATAAGGAAGATTTCCCATTAGTATGCTGTAATTTGTGCTAGTGTCACTTTAGTCCCCAAATTTTAAAATAGGATAATTGAGTATCAAATTTTTAAAATATGAGAATTTAGTACCTGTCATTAATCATCAGTTAAATTGTAGTTTAAGTGACATACTCAAAGGACACAAATATCTTTTGAGTATTATTTAATTTTCTTTATCAATTATCTAAATATTGGCAAAATATTAACACGTCCTAAATTTTTGCTTCTTTCATTCAAGAAAGTTGAGATTATGTTTGAGTGGACATTCTAGTGAGCCCAACTTTTTTTAATTGAAGAGGCAATGATTTGGGACTTAAGTTTTTTATCAATGTTTGGATAATTGATACAGAAAATTAGATGACACTCGAAGGGCATTTATATCTTTTTAAATTGTCATGTACTAAATTGTCACGTTTTAAAAATTTAGATATTAAATTATCACATTTTAAAGTTCAAGAACCAAAGTGACACTAAACCCAAATTACAGAATACTAATCAAGAATTTTCCCTTATAACAATTAAGATTAATTAAAGTAGGCTGCCATCACTCATCACGGCGAAAGACAGGCTTAATACTAGTGTGTAATCATGTTTTTGAGCTTAGATAAACTAGAAATCCTAGTCAGTAACTAATTCTAGATTATTAAATGGTTGTGGTTAAGACAAATTGCTATTCATATCCACAGCAACAACAACAAAGCATCATCCCAGCTACTTGGATTTGTCTAATGCTCCAAATACTGTTCTAGCTGAGATCAAATCGACTTCATCCAAAAGCGCCTAAGTTGTAGGTTAGGAGCTGCATCACCTCCTTTTTTTCAAACTGAACAGGCTTAAAGCTGGTAGTTATTTATGTATTAGGCCGTTTCTGATTCATTCCGGTGCTGTTTTCTGCAAACATTTCTCCAAATGTACATCAGGTCATCACTGGGTCCGATTAGAGTCTCCATCTAATTTTTTGATTTGTTTTTTCCTTCGAAATCCTACTCAAAAGGGGAGTTCTTTTTTTGGATTTTGAGAGGGGGAAATTAGTCAATGAGATTTTAGTTCTCATTGATGAAGATTCCCATGTTTTTTTTTTTTTTTCAGTTGTATGGGGACCAAGGAAAGTTTATTTTTCTGGTTACCACTTACCTAAGAAAGTGATACTCATCTCCTAAATGGTTAAATAACTTTCCCACATAAGGGGAAAATTGCCAGCACTTGAATGAGACAAAAATGTCCCTTTTACTAATGAATTTTTATGGCTAAAATGGTTATTCCCTTATTAACCTGGGAAATAAAAAACCATGGATAAATACACTTATTTGGGTAAATGTTTCACAGAAAAAATTTACCTAGATATTTGCATTTATCTAAGTAAATAATTTACCAAAAAAATGAACTGGGCCAAAAAATAAAATTTTTGGAACATTAACCTTGGAAGGTGGATAAAATAGCGAAAGTGTGGATTGTCCGTTTGAGATAGTGGGCACCAAGCCACCAACCTAAATAAAGACTTAGAAGTCCGTGACCGTGAGTCTACCTCAAGTCCGGAGGAACTTCCTTTGGTTTTGTTTCGTGAGAACCCTATCCTTGTAGTTGATGGCGATAACTTTCTTCTTTTTTTTTTTTATTATTCTTTTGAAGTTAGCAATGCCATCTTCAGATGTCCCTGTTTATTTCTTTCAAAGCATTTACAGTTATGCACCTAACGATCTGAGGCTAATCTTCCACTTTTCCTATGCTAAGTGGAGTGGTGAAGGCAGAGAGAATGAGAGAGATGATATTTTGTTCTTCTTTAATCTACATGAAATGGGTTACAAGCAAATATCTGGATTTGATTGGGTCAATGCAATGGATTTTTAATTTGTGAGCCATTGATTCCTCTATACATGGGACAAGACCTTGGGGGAAATCAGAGTCCCAGATATGATCGACGGGCTGGCCTGGTCAGATTTAACAAATTTTGAAGCAATGGTTTACGAGAAATATGTCTGAAATGGTTGACCGTTTGAAGAGCGGCGGTGGAGGTGGTGATGGTGAAGGAGTGGAGATCAACTTTGGTCAGGGCAAGCCCATGTTTACACTGTTCCAACAGCCTCTTGCATTCATGCATCGGGAATTTCTCTCCATGAAATAAAGTACATAAATACAGAAATATCCCTAATGCAAGGCTGTAAATGCTGCTCGAATGGGCATTGCTCTAACAGAAGCCAAACTTGAAGGAATGGATTTATTCCACATAAAATTGTGCTCACACCATTGGGAACATTTCTATACTTATATCTTTTTATTTATGGGAGATGTTCCTAAGATGATCATAACCCTCAAGATGATAAGTATTGTCTCCATCATTTTGGCATTCATTGTGAATGATAGAAGATTCCTCCTTAGCAATTGGTTCTTCAACAAAGATGGGAGGTTTGTTCCAATCAGCAAGTTTTCTTCAACATATATTGCTGAGGAGAATAACCATAAAATTTTTTGTTATGATTCTCACCAATATTAAAACAATCAATAAAGTCATAATATTTGACTTTACCTTTAGAATAAAAAATGGATAGCTCCTCTATAGAACTCCGGTCCATGAATTCACTTGAGGCTATACCTCCATAAAACTCTGAGGGACTCAATCTTGAGATCTATTTCCCATCATGTCTTTTCACCACTCACAACTATAGCCAATTTGGGTGTTTTCCGAGTAGAAAAAAACCTTCATGAAACTTTAGAATCTCAATCTTGAAACCCATTTTCCACTACTTCTGGTCACCACTTTAGAATCGAATGGTGGCATTTGCATCATGGTCACTGTCCCTTGTTTTGGAACAAGAACGTAGCAATCTCAACTCTTGAATAAGTGCATCTACTTGTTTTCTCAACTCTACCACCTCTTCTTGTGTGTGTGTGTGTGTGTGTGTTGATTTCCTGCTCCATGATGTGAGCCACTTGTTTCTTCTTAAGAATCATAGTCCAAAGAATGATCAACTTGATCTCTGATACCAAATGGTGAAGTTTGAAAAATAAATCACATTCAGAGAAGCTTAAAAGAAAAGAACCAAAGCCGAATAGAATAGGAAGAACAATTCTTCAATGAATATGTAAGAGAAAATCAACAAAAAACTCCCTTAGCTTTGCCCTAGCTACTATTTATATAGAATTCTTTACACCCTTATGCCTCCTAATCTAATAAAAACTCATTATAATCCTACTAAATCTCTTAAAAAAAGAAAGTACTAATTGAATATAAATTCAGAAATTCCGCTGTAACACTAACTTGGTAAATGCAAACTAAGATAGACGGATACGAAAAATCTTGCATTGATGATGCTATATTGATAAATACAAACTAAGTTGGTTTGTCGGAGGCCAACCGAATAAATGTTTACTCAATTAGACTGAATCTCGTACTATATTAAAAACTTAGAATTTGACATGGTAGCCCATACTCACCCTGAATGACTACAATTCAAGGTGGATAGAATATGGATAGAGAGTAGTGAGCAGGAAATTTGGTTTGGAAAGTAGCCCAGATTTCCTATTCATTTTCTATACCCGCCCCTACCCATAGTATACTATAGTCGTACATCTCATAATACAAGATGAGTATGTGTGGCCATAGTTCAAGATGAGTATCCTCTTGATGTATGTTGAATTGTCAGAGCACTATTCGATTAAAACTGAATAAAAATTTTCAGTTTCGATTTTTTCTGTTTTTGGTTTTTAGAATTAGAAATTTGTTTAGCCAAAATAATTGAATTTTCTATTATTATATATAATACATTATATACTTATATATTTAAAAATATAATAAAATGAAATTTCATTTCATAATATATAATATATGTTATAATATATATAATAGAATATATATTATTAAAATTTGATTTTAATCGAAATAATCGAAAACCAAACAAAAAATTTGGTTTTATTTTGATTTTTTACTTTTTTTTAGTTTGATTTTTAAAATTTCAATTTATTCAAATTGATTTTTAACTGAATAAACCCAATACTCACCTCTTTATAGAAGGGAGGAAACATTCTTCTCTCTCTCTAAGCCTCCTCACCCTCTGTTTTCGTTTCTTTCTATCAAGGAAGAACCAATATTAAAGATAGGTAGTAATTAATTGATTGAATATTGTTCGTAAAAAGGAAAAAGAACGAGTGCTTGGGTGGAAGCAGAAGCATCAATTGTGGATTCTATTGCTCACTGCATGGAACCCACGAAAAGAAAAAGAATGGAGGGGGGAGGGGCAACACAGTGATTGGCCTCACTGGCGCACTATCTAGCATTATGTGGTGGCTTAAGGAAATATTGCTCAGCTCCCTCGCTCCATACTCCAATCCACAATACCAGCTGCTGCTGAACCAATTCACCTTTATTAATTAGTGCTCTTACCCCCATTTTTAAAGCAAAATAAGTATGAGAGCAAGGTCTGGGCTGATGACTAGCCAATGAA